GTAAATGATGCGGTGGTGGTGAGGCTGCGGGGAGAGAGGAGTGTCGGTATTGCGAGGCGCCGCTCTCCCTACCCTCCGCAGTCGAATCTTGGTTGGCGGCGGAGCCATAGACCAGATCCGCCGCTGGGGTCAGGAAGGCTGGTGCTTCTGAGTGCTAGTTTTTCCTGGCCCCATGGCCTTCTCGCATCGGACACGGGGGCCTCCGTTGCGCATGTTAAGTTGGAGGCCGAGGAGGAGGGCGCGCCATGTGTTCTGGTGCGCCTTACCCGAGAGGGAGATGGGGGGAGGATTAGTCCTCTCCCGAGGAGAGGCCGCCATGGTGCGGCCAGCGTAGGTGGGGCCGCGGATGTGTGCGAAAGCGTTCCCGTGGTCCTGCCAATATGCGACGAGGGTGGAACACCATGGGGTTTTAGTCGGTGCGAGTCCAACATAACCCGTCCTTGCCCCCGCGATGCAGGTATGCGTAACCATTCCCCATGTAAAAAAAAATAGGACATAGGATTTAATCCTGTATCGTGGACCGTTTTTCATGCATAAATTGTTGAATGTCCAAACTTCTACCGTATGGGTTTCAAACGCGCGCCCCTCAGAAACATGATTCAATTCTAAGTCGCTGCCCCAACAAGGCGTCAAATTATCTATTGCTTCTTCATCCGTTAAAATAGAAATTGCCACAGATCTTTTGGATTAAGCCAACTAGCTCAAGAGTAAGACATCATGAGAGAGTATTTTGCAAGCATGCGCGGTGACCACTGTGCGATTTACTAGAAGAAAAGAACTCTTTTTAAAAGGCCAGTAACGCAACTGTAATTCTCCTGGTGTTGTAGTTGTTCGTGAGCGACGGTAGTCATTTACCATTACGTGAGCCGTATGCTTGTCTGCACCCTCTTTTATAAAGTTAGTTTACATTTTCATTCACGATAATAAGTATATTATAGAATAGTAATTCTTCTTCAATACATTTTAGAGACTCTTCTTCAAATTTAATGCCCGAACAAACATTGCTTCAGTATAAAGCTCAATATTGACACTGTCGTGACTTAAATTAAGTCGATACCTATTTGCTGGAACCGATTACATTGCTTAGGTTAACAACCGCTTTGTGTGTGAAAACCAGTTTTAGTACTTTTTCTTCCTGCATATTAATCGGCTGGTATAATAAAATAAATTGCAAAACTAATATAATAATAGAGTCCTATTCTATTATCTTACTGATAGCAACAAGGATAGAAAATGAAAGAAAACAAAGAAATGAAAGTAGAACTCTACATCCGTTTGGTATTTTATGGTACTTTGCTAGATATTGCTAGAAGACTTCCTACATCAAACAACTATACAGAATCACATCCTGTTCCCACACAGCCCACCGGAGGCTAAATAAATGCTGACGTCAATAGATATCCTTAATACCATCGATTAAGAATCAAAATACATATGCGTATAGTCATCCCTGAGGCAGGCAGTCAACAAGGTAGCTATTTTACGCTGGTATTCTGCATAGTTGAACACAGGCCTCCACTTGCTTTCCTCATAAGAAAGATATTTCTCATAGTTGTTAACAATTGGCAATCGTAGTTTTTTATTTTCTTGTTTTCAACACATTTAACTTCTCGTTCTGTTTTTGGTTCTGTGACGAAATCTTTTGGTTTCCAAAACTTGTTGTAAAACATATTTTGTACTATTAATGTCAAACATATTTCACTTCCACACAATGTAAACATTGTTTGACAATGTAAACGTGGTACGATACATTATTAAAAGCAGAATTATAGTCACGTTTTATGTTAATATTTTACATGTTCAAATTCACGAATGACATATCCATAATAATAATGTATTTCTGAGTTAATTATGAGGAAATAAGATTTCTTTTCACATTTTGTGTTTAGAAGTTATCATTAAGTAAAGCTTTCCTTCCCTTTGCAACATTAATGAGCTTCTTTGCTTATCTTACATCAAAATTATCTTTCTTATTTAACTGTTGAATGCCGTCCGCAAAACTTCCTGTGCGCTTGATTATATTTTTAGCGTAAATAAAGCTATAAAATTCAATACTTATCTCATTCTTTGAAAACGTGTACATTTCATTTGATAGCTCTAATTACATATGATAGCCATTGGCAAGAAATAAAAATTAAAACTCTATAAAACATTATATGTATATTAATTTTCTCTCAGTATGAAATAAGTTATTAGAGAAATCAACTTTTTCGACTTATGCATGTCGTAAGATTTGAATAAAGATAGCTGTATCGATGAGTACCGCTTTTTGTGTTTGGATTTATTCCACTTCTTCTCACCAAAAGTCCCACTGGTGGGACGAAGTGAACTCTTACCCCAGAACGATACATGATGTAGTGTCAGTTTTCTTAAATGACTCGAGAAACTGACCAGAACCAACTCCTTTTGCAGAAAATGCTGCTGAAATAATTAGACTTCATTAAGTGCCGCGCCAAAGCAGATATAAGGAAGTTAGATGTGTTCCAATGTTGCTGCCGTATTTTGCTCCGGGACGGCTGCTTACTAGATATAAAGCACAAGTCCGGTCATGTATGGAGTACTTTTTTCACTTATGGCCTTATGTTGCAAATGCCACCTGGCTCAAACTACATGCAAATTGGCGACTTAATTCTGGTTAAAGCCAATCTAGCCGTTCACAAGGACTGGCGCAAAGTAACTAGCGTCTCGTTTTAGCCTACAGGATATATTTTTTTATAGAATAAGGGTGAAAAGCGTGCACATAGTCCATCTGAAGGTAAGTGGATGCTGTGGCCCATAGATATCAACATTTTACCTGGATTAAGAATGCAGATGCGTTATCACCCATGAGGACTAATATGGAACACCTTGTTTCCAGTAAAAAGGGTCTCCGGTTCTCTACACTTACCATATGAAACAGGAGAATTAAGCAGCTACTTTACGCTGATATTATTGCTGTGTGAGCAATTATTATATTTTTGCTGTGTGAGAGTGGTCCTACCTCGATTGAGCTGACCCATTATACTATTCGACCCATAATATAGCTGCAGCGTGGCTCTTACACGTATAAATATTTCGAAAAGAGAAACATTCAGGAATTACATTTTATAGCCATTCAGCGAGGAAATGCAGCCAGCGTTCTTGCGACGATATCACGGCTAGTAGGACTTTAGTTAGTCTTCGTCTTATCTTCGGCGAAACTAAGACGAATCCCGCGCGGGACGCGGGACATGATTCGCTAGCGCCGATTGCGTCAGCTAACTTTTATGAAGGTGTTCACATTGGTGCGAATAGTCGCACGTTCTGCAGCTAAATATACGCGGGATAGTGCCTGATTTTTCGAAATGCCGTTGAACATTGAATTATTTTTACAAAATGTAAAAGTAAACAAGATTCTATACGACCTCAGCCACGAAGCTATTAAAATAATAGTAAAAAAGGGTATGGAAAGTTTTATCAAGAATCGAACAAAATATGTTTCCGTATTTTATTCGATTCTTAATAAAACTTCGTTATAGCATTCTTCCGGCATACGAAAATATATATAAAATCTATTTTTATCTTTTCGTAATGTGTATATCATAGTGTGAAACTCTCTAAATTTTATGCGTTGAGTACTCAGCTCGTGAACCCATTTTCTTCTTTTCTTCTTCACATCTTGAGATACTTCTTCAGTTATTACTAATAAAACAAAACCTCAGCTTCAATATCAAAAAACATGTTTTCCTATTGAGAAGCCAAAACTAATGACGTGCGGGATTCGCCCCAGTTTGTGAGGCTAAGCGAGCGAACATTAACATTTAACAGTGGTAGAGCCACGCGGCAGCTTTTGCTGTCGCATGGAAGGGCTGGCTCGAACCGGGGTAGTACCACGACCTCACAGAAAACCAGCGTGAAGCAGAGGTTTACCTCTGCGTTTCGCTTGGTGAGTGCAGGTGGCCGGAGGCCCTTTTTACTGGAAATGAGGCTTTCCATCTTAGTCTTCACGGGTGACAACGCATCTACATTTTGATTTGTAACAGAGGATAGATGTAGATGTCTATGGGCCGCAGCAACCACTTACCATCAGGTGGACTGTGTGCTCGTTTGTCACCCTTATCCTATAAAAAAATCGTGCAGATTCGCATCCCTCGTCCCGCGCGGGATTCTCCTTAGTTTGGCCGAAGCTTTATTATAGTTTTTTTTTTTAATATCGTGTGTAACCATTTAGTTAGATTTAATTTTATACTATGTTTTAACATTGTAAATAAATTTCTTTATTGAATTCATATCTGATTGCTCAAAAATATAACTGAGTTTACCATTCTTACATTAATCTAAATAAATATATTTCATATTTTAGTTTTTATATTATTTATATAACAAATAGTGTATGCGTTGTTAACCCTGAGGTCTAAGATGGAATTCCTCGTAAATAGTAAAATGGTATCCATCCGAATCACTGGAGTTAAATGCTGCTTTTTCAAGCCTTCTTATTATTTGTAATCCTAATTAAGGTATAGCAGAGTTTCGAACAAGATTGATCGAAATTCTAAGATTTTCTCAAAAGCCGCAATATGACAAAATTAGGACAGATACAGAATTTTGATCAAAATCTAGTTTTGTTTAGGATTATGATGAAATCAAAATGATACGCAATCGAAGCGATAATTTGAATCCTATTGATCTAAATCTTGATTTTATTAAAATCCTATATATTTAACGCATAACATTAACGCATCTGCAGCCCACAATAACCCATTAAAATAAAATGGAATTACTTAATATTGTGTTATAACGTAAGTAATAAAACGAAACGAAATCACAATTAGTAATTAATATGGTCTAGGTCTAGGTCCCGCTATAAAACTCTTACGTATGAGGGGCATTCATATTAAAATTAAAATAGAGGTACAAACTCTATTGAACTAATAAAGTAAACACTGGCTGCTGCTGAATATATGAAAACCGTAGTTTTATAATATATGCCAGTATATTCTAAGTCTTACTAATTATTTATTTATTTATTTATTTATTTTATTAGGCTCTCACAACAATGAGTACACTGTTACATACATATGGAATGGCATCACAATTATTAAAACTAAATGTCCCATTACTTATAGGAGGGCACCACATTCATAAAAAAGAGACTTTACGTTGATTGTACAACAGTACATAGGTACAATTTAACTCCAATAAAATTTTAATTTAAATTAATAATTAAGAAACTTCCATTACAACTTAGCCTTAATCGCCGATAACTACTTTTTTGATGACAGCCATCGAGGTTGAGAATAGATCTATTCTGCTTTGGTATTCTTTATATAATGCAAACATTCTTGTTAAGGAACAATGTGATCTTAAATTAGTTCGACCTTGAGGTGCAAGAAATAATTTGCTATTACAGGATATAGGCAACCGATGCGGTACATTAAAATTTATCCTACTAAGAAGATCGGGACAGTCCAAAAATCCAGTCACCAATTTCTTTAAGAACAATAAATCAATAATTTTCCTTCTCGTTTCCAATGATGGGATCTTAAAATGAGACAGTCTTTCTTCATATGACTTGAGCGTCCTGGTCATATTACAGCTACGAGTCAAGTGCCACAGAAACCTTTTTTGTACTTTTTCAATGCGGTCTATATGTATTCTGTAACTGGGTGACCAAACTACACTGCAATACTCCAAGTGACTCCTTACTAATGAGTTGTACAATATTATTTTTGTGGCTGGTTTTTTAAAATTCCCACTCTCCCTTAGCACAAACCCAAGCATCTTTGATGCTTTTAGTACACAGTCATTTATATGTAAATCAAATTTAAGTTTTGGATCCATCTGAATGCCTAGGTCTTTAATTACATGAACTTCTTCAAGCAGTTCATTATATATACTATATCTAGAATTGACGATCCCTCTGTTTCTGGTGAATCTGATATGCTTGCATTTTTTTATATTTAAAGACATTTTGTTTTGGTCACACCAATCTGCAAGCCTATCCAGATCACTTTGAAACAGCAAGATGTCCTCCTGATTCCTGATCATTTTAATAGCTTTAAGGTCATCAGCAAATAAGTGTGCTTCAGAGTTTTGGAAACACTGTTCAATATCATTCATAAATAATGTGAAGAGATAGGGCCCCAAATGGGATCCTTGCGGGATTCCAGACGATGCAGCATAAGGACTTGAGCAAATACCGTTCAATACAACTTTCATCTCTCTATCAGTCAGATATGATGCAAACCACCCTAGCAGAGGTCCTGTAACTCCATATAATTGTAGTTTTTCCAACAATATACTATGATTTACTGTATCAAAAGCTTTGCTGAAGTCTGTATATACCGCATCCACCTGTACGCGAGAATCAACGGCCCCAACAAGTGATTCAACATATGATACTAAGTTAGAAGCCGTAGATCTCCCCTTCATAAATCCATGTTGGTTGTTCGACAAATACTGTTTCAGATGCCAAGACAAAATAGGACAAATCAGAGCCTCAAAAACCTTTGCAAGAACAGACAAAATAGCTATTGGCCTATAGTTAGATACAATTGATTTATCATTACATTTAAATACGGGGACAATATTAGAATCCTTCCAAACCGATGGGAAAACTCCTGCCTGTAAAGATTTGTTATATATTAACATTAAAGGGAGTGATATCTCATTAGCCGTTTTGCAAACAAAAATGGGTGGAATTAGATCAGGGCCTGCTCCTTTATTTATATTAAGTTTATGCAACACTTCCTTAATTTGTGTTTCTGTTAAAGTTACAGTATTTAATGGAGTTATATTTTGTCGATCGACAGACCCTGGATGTGTTGAGGGGACGATGTTAAAAGAATTATCATAGACACTGGAGAAATGGGAAGCAAAGTAATCGCTGATGGTTTCAATATTTTCAGATACTTCAACTCCATTCGACATAGCACGAGGATAATTGCTAGAGCCACCTCTTTTCTGTTTGATATAGCTCCAAAAAAGTTTAGGATTAGTAACAATCTTATTTTCAAGGGACGCTGTATATGAATTAAAACAAGCAACTGACATTCTGCTACACCGTTTTTTAAGTAGATTTAATGAGATCATATCCATCGGGTTATTATATTTTTTAACTCTCAACCTCAATCGATTCTTTTCATTCAATCTTTTTATTAGTTGTTTTGAGAACCAATATGGATACTTATTATTTTTTACGATCTTTCGTGGTACATGTTTGTGTATTAGTTCACGTATTATATAGTAGAATTTCTCAACCATGGCATCGACTGAGACGCATGAAGAGAATTCCCAATGCCACTCAATTTCTTGAAGCGCTGTGCAAATTGAATTATAATCAGCTTTAAAATAATTTAATTTTGTATGAGTGGTAATTGGTATATTAACGACTTTCTTAGAAAAGGTAAGCGAAACTTGTACAGGTGGATGGTGAAGATCAATTTTGGATAGCACGTGGCTGGGCTTGCTTATGTTAATATTATCCATATTCGATAACACCAGATCGAGGATTCTCTTATTATGATTTAACAAGTCATTATGTTGCCTAAGGTCGTTTAACGTTATGAAATCCCACAATGATTGTTCAACTTTAGAATTAGCACATAGGCGTGAATTAACTATACTGTCATTATTGTAAATCCAGTTGATAGTATTTATATTAAAATCGCCTAGAATTAGACATTCCGCCACCTCTTCCAATACTCTGTTAGCGTTACTAATGAAATGATCCAATATATTAACCTTAATTGGAGAAGGCAAATAAACTCCACATATTGAAATCTCCTGAATCCCGTTGCATGACGGCAAAAGCAATTTGACCCAGAGATCATCACAAGAGCTTTCATAATCTAGGACTCTATACGATTTGTATTTTCTAGAAATACCTATCAAAACACCGCCGCCACTGTCTTTGCTATTGAAAATACGTTTACTTCTGTCACGCCTATACAGAACATATCGGTCATCTGTGATCTCTGAGTCATATATGCCATTCAAAAGCCATGTTTCCGTAAATACAATCACATCGTAATCGCAACAAGCTATCTGACAATAAACATCTTTCAATTTTGTTCTAATACCTCTGACATTTTGGTAGTATATCTTTAACCGTGTGAATTTAAGAGAATAATAAACCATTGCATACAAAAATAAAACAACTATAACTAAAGGTGCCTAACTAAGACTATCTAAAGTTTCGAGGTCTCTAATATATTTATAGTCGCTGGTTTCTGACTTTCTCATGAAAATTCTACCCCTGCGAACCCAAACAAACTTATAGTTCAATTCTTTTGCTTTCTTTCGGGCTGCAGCATGTAAATATTTATTCGTCGGAGATAAGTGCTCGACAACATAGACATTCTCCTTGGCACCTCCTATGCCAAGTAGATTACTATTTAATTTCTCATTTGGATTAGCTTTGTTATACATAATTGAAGCTGCCAGAAAAGTATCTCGAGTGCGTGGAGAGTTGAACTGAACAACGATAGACTTCGGGCGTTTGCTATTTGTGTCGCGTTTTGCAATTCTAGTAACATGATGTATTTGGTTCTCGCTTATTGAATAGGAATTTGATCTCTTTTTAATAGTAAAATGCAGTAATTTGCTCAATCGACCTTTACTTGATCTCTAAATTTTACAACGACGACAGGTACAACATTTTTTTTAAACATACCTACACAGCTTACGGACTAATATTGGCATGAGAACTGCTAATATAATTTGACAGGCGCTTCAACATGCCCCCCGGCGTTGAAAGTCTACCTTTCAACCAGATTCTTCAGGTTCAGGAAGCGGACAAATTTTGCTAAATGATCGGCGAACTATACCAGTCGATGTTTTGATATCCGCCACCCTTGATACGCCGTCCGAGCCTGGATGGACTGCGACGATGCGACCCATCTTCCACTTTAATGGCGGTGAATTCTCCTCTTTTAGGAGTACCAGTGAATTTAACTTCAAAGAGCCTTTACAGGAACGCCATTTCATCCGCAGTTGAAGCTCTGATATATATTCCTTGCTCCATCTAGCCCAAAAATGTTGACGTAATTGTTCTATTCGTTGAAATCGGGTTAAAGAGCTTACGGAATGATCTTTATAGTCTGGTGTCGGCAAGGAAGTCAAGGGGCGTCCAATCAAAAAATGACCGGGCGTTAGTGGTAGCAAGTCTTCAGGATTCGTTGACAAAGGTGTGAGTGGTCTGCAGTTAAGTATAGCCTCAATTTGTATTAATGTGGTATGTAGTTCCTCGTAAGTCACATTACAATTGCCCAGCACTCTAACTAAATGATATTTAATGCATTTGACACCAGCCTCCGCAAGCCCAGCAAAATGGGGAGAATAAGGCGGTATGAAATGGAAATTAATTCCTTCATTTGCCATTACCTCAGATAAAGAATTACAATACGTCCTAATAAATTTTGAAATGTCATTGTATGCGCCTACAAAGGAGGTACCATTATCCGAATAAATATTAAGAGGTTTCCCTCTTCTAGACATAAATCTGCGCAAAGCTAATATGAAGGTATTGCTAGTTAAATCACCCACTAATTCAAGATGAATTGACTTAGTCGCGAAGCAAATAAAAATAGCTATATACACCTTTACAATTTTACAACCACGGCCATGGCGAGAAACAGATTGAATTGGTCCCGCATAGTCTAGTCCAATATTTTGAAATGGAAAACCAGAAAGGATGCGTTGGTGTGGTAGGTTGCCCATTATTGGAGAGATGGTTTTTCCTTTCATTCTATTACATCTTACACATTGTCGATAACAAGATCTGGCCAAATTACGACCTCTAATCGGCCAGTACATCTCTCTTATAGTGGCCAACATTAGCTGTGGTCCCGCGTGCATTAACCTCATGTGCTCATAATTGAAGAGCAATTTGGTAAAATAATGAGTGGACTGTATAAGTATGGGATGTTTTTTCTCATAACAGTAATCGGAATTTTCAAGACGCCCTCCAACACGCATTATTTTATTATCATCGAGAAATACATTAAATTTATGCAACGGACTTTTAGTGGGTAAACTTTTATTTTTAATTAACATGGTGTATTCCTCAAATGATTCACTCTGGGATATTCTTATAATAACATTGAGTGCGGTTTGCAACTCTTGATTGCTTAGAGGACCGTGAACGGATTGCTTTCTACAATTATTAATAAAACGCAGCACATAAGCAACGGTCCGATTTAATCTAGTATATTTAGAAAAGCGTTTAAATTCAATTAATTTATTCCCACCTAAATCTTCATTGTTGCTAGAATGAAGTATTCCGTGGAGGATAACATTTGACGATTTAATCTCAGGCAACTCGTGATTAATACTTAAGAAATTTGCAGGCCAGTGAGAGACCTCTTTATTTAAAAATTCAGGTCCTGACCACCACTTACTCATGGATGAAATATCCTTACAACTCACACCGCGAGAAATATGATCGGCCGGATTACACTCTGTTGGGACATGCCTCCACTCGCAATTTCCAGTCTTCTCTAATATTTCAGCAACCCTATTTCTGACAAAGGGTTGTAGCTTGCTAGGTAACACCTTTAACCATCCTAACACGATGGACGAATCTGTCCAAAAGAAAGTGCGCTTAGCCTGTTGTCTCAGCGATGCTACAACCTTTTGGTAAAGGCGAGCTCCAACAAGTGCACCACAAAGTTCCAGTCTTGGGATTGTTATAGGTTTAAGCGGCGCGACACGACTTTTCGCCATCAATAATTGAATTAAAACCTCACCCTGATCATTAACACTACGCACATATAAACAGGCGCCATATGCTCGCTCAGAAGCGTCCGAGAAAATATGAAATTCAAACAAACTAGGCGAGTCACAAATAACACGACGTGGAATACGTAGAGTATTTAATTTAGGTAAATCGACTATTATCTCAGCCCACATCTTGCTGATTTCTGGCGTCAACTGCTCATCCCATGACAGCTTGAGCAGCCACAACTGTTGAAGAAGCATTTTCATCTTAATTACACAGGGAGATAGAAGTCCTAGTGGATCAAAAATCTGAGAAATCACAGATAACATATCACGCTTTGTTCTACCTGAGAATAGCCCTCCTATAGGGAAACAAAGTTGGTCAGTGTGTGATTGCCAACCAAGGCCTAAAGTTTTAGTCGGTTCAAAGCCACCAATATTCAAATCAAGCGGAGAAATATCATTTTCACTAACCAGTTGAGATTCATTCGACTTCCACTTTCGCAAAACCATATGAGCTGATGCAAGTGTGGAAGTCACTTTACGGCGCAAATCTGTAACCTCGTTAATATCATCCCCTCCCGTTAGCAAGTCATCAACGTAAAAATCGTGAATGATCACTTGAGCAACCTTGTCATCGGTACACTCTAAGCCTAATTGTTGGAGGCACCTAGTTGCCAAAAAGGGAGCACTAGAGGTGCCGTAAGTCACGGTGTTAAGTTGATAAGCTTGAAGCTGTTCTGAAGGGTTATCACGCCAGACAATTTGTTGCAAATAGCGGTCATCGGGATGAATGACTATTTGCCGGTACATTTTCTCAACATCAGCTGTGAGAACGTATTTGTGTAGCCGAAATCGTAAAAGAATGGACAAAAGGTCGTCCTGTACCACGGGACCTACCATCTGTATATTATTCAAGGAAACACCCGAAGAAGTCGGACTGCTAGCATTGAAAACGACTCTTAATTTAGTAGTAGTACTACTTTCCCGAAGCACACCGTGATGTGGTATAAAATGCATCTTACGTGGTAAATTATCATTCTCACATTTCTCCATATGACCCAGACTTTCATACTCTGACATAAATTCTTTATACATTTCATAGACCTGAGATTGACCTGCTAACCTGCGCTCTAGCGATAGTAAACACTTTTTAGCTCGTGGCCAAGAATCACCTAATACGTCAGGATTATGTTTTAAGGGTATCCTCACGCAAAATCGACCATTTGCCAGTCGCGTGGTGTTTTTTAAAAAGTGTTCTTCGCATAATTTTTCTTCGTTTGAATAAAGAGACGCAGGGCTTACCTCTTCGAGGTGCCAGAAGCGTACTAATTGTTTTTGTATATCTTCATCTAAATCTTTACTATCCTCATCTTGAAATATTCTTGTAAAATTACATTTAATAAAGTTAACCCCTTTCTTTACATATCTATAATCTATCGGACCTGATACTAACCATCCTAAGCTAGTTTCACAAAGAATCGGCTGACCGTCCCCTAATTTTAATCTCTGCGTTCCTATTAAGTCCCAAAAGACATCAGCACCTATAAGCATGTCAACGGGAGCAGGTGAGTGAAAATTAGGATCTGCCAGAGAAATATTAGATGGAATTTTTAAGTTTGACAAATTAACATATCTAGTAGGTACATTTTGGGTTATTGATGGTAGGACAAAACAATGAAGATTACTAGAGAAGTTATCATTCAATGATTTTATCGATACCTTACAAATCTTCTTGATGTGTGCCGAAGCATTATTAATACCGACTACCGACTGATTTACATTTTGAGCGGGCAAACCTAGCCTTTGATATAACTCTTCAGTTATTAAACAAGCGTTACTGCCACTATCAAGAATAGCACGAGCAATATATGGACAACCATTCTTACCTATAACTTTAATTAATGCCGTCGATAACAATACGTCGCCTTGTTCACTACACGATGCAGTGCCTACCTTTGCGGATAATGACAGATGTGCGTTAGAATTGGATGACAACTGTGAGCCTGTCGAACTGTTTGTTTGTTCGAAATGACCTTGCATAACGGGCTTATTATTACCACTACTCGTGTTAGATGTATTAATATCTGTAATTGGTTTTGACTGGTAATCTGCGACGTGCACGAGAGTGTTATGCTTTCGGTGGCATATTTTGCATCCTGGCTTTTTGCAGTGATTTGCATAATGTCCTGAATTAAGACAATTGAAACATACTTTATACTCTGGCAGTAACTGTAGACGCACATCGTTACTTAATCCAAGAAACTGAGGACAACTGCTTAACTTATGGTCACCCTTACATTTAGGACACAGTTTGGCGGAAAAGGCCGAACCGTTTTTATTACCGGTATCCCGCACTGAAACCATTGCCTTAACTTTTGGAGCATATTTTATAGAAGAATTTAAACGGTTAGTAGCACCAGAATTAGACATTTCTAGTGTTTCGATTAAATCGGCTCGATTTTTTAAAAACATCAAAAATATATCGAACGTAATAGGTGTATCTTTCTCCAAACGACCTTTAGACTCTTCCCATTCACGATATGTCTTAGCATCTAATTTTTGAGTAATAATATGAATGAGAAGTGTGTCCCATTGTTTAGTTGGCTCACCGAGAGATTCTAGTGCACGTAAATTTTTATTTATTTGGTCAATAAGACGTTTTAAGTTGACAGACAATTCTTTATTAATTGGTGCTATATTAAATAAGGCTGTCACGTGATTTTGAATTAGTAGTCTTTTATTATCATATCTATCACATAATATAGTCCATGCGACGGTGTAATTAGCTGCCGAGAATTCGATTGACTGTATTACCACTGCAGCGGGCCCTTCCAACGACGCTCTCAGATAGTGAAACTTATTTATGTCATCTATCTCGTCATTTGAATGTATGAGGCTCATGAACGTGTCATGAAACTCTAACCAATTATCATAAGAACCATTAAATTTAGGTAGTTGAATAGTGGGCAGTTTAACAAATTTATGATTGCCGGAATGAGAGCCACCGTCACTGCTTACGTCATCTGACTTAATGCAATCTGCTAAGATCCTTTTTGCAAGAGAAAGCGATTTAAAATACAGGGATTCAAAATCAGTTCGTTCTGATATCTGGGCGTCTATATTATCAGTATTACACTCGATGGATAATTGTACCTCATCATATCGTTCATACATTGACTCAATCCTACTAATACGTAATTGCAACTCATTTACCTCAGTAGCAGCCAATGAAGATACCTTCAGTGAATTTAAATAATTTGAAAAAGCTGTTATTTGTCCCTTGTAACTAGCTCGTTTCCTAATTTGCTCCTTATCTTCTGGCATGCTGGCTGGTATTGGGAGACTAGTGCAAATGCCTGAAATTTATACAAACAAGAAGTTTATATTTTATAAAATATAATTCATAAGTAGTTTTATACAATTTTGCTTACAGTTGTAAAGAAATGAAAACTAATTCCCTTACTTATTTTTCAAACTCTTAAATAATTAAACAAAATGGTACATGTACTACCTTGATATTTAACTTTATAATTAACAACAATTAAGGGTAACAAATACAATTCAGACCATCAAACAGCTTCACAGGTATGCCTTAGTATGTAATAAATAATATTATGCAATTTTTTCAATTATAAACTCTCTTGACTTATTTTTTAAAAAACAGTTTAAACCAATAAAGAGAAAAAAAAATTATAATATCGTCAATATAATTTAACTAAGCTTTATAATTTGATTTAATCATGATTTGACGGTTATTAGAAACTATATAAAACAATATTAAATGAATTTTAGCCGATTAAATACTTTAAGTTATACGTAATTATTTTATAGGTAATTTGGTACTAACCTGATAAATTAGCAGTCGATTTACACAAAATACTACCTGATAATGAGTGCTGGGTTAAATAAATTAAATAATAGTCCAATATCTAAGGGGCTAAGACTCCAGATTTCTTGGTTAAATATCTTCACTCCCTCGGTGGTATTTCCACAACGAATATTTAAGACTTCCCAAGCGTATTCCACTAAATAATATCTTGTCCAATTACGTTTTTTCAAATCCGGCTTCGATTTAGGACCATGAATAGGAATTTGATCTCTTTTTAATAGTAAAATGCAGTAATTTGCTCAATCGACCTTTACTTGATCTCTAAATTTTACAACGACGACAGGTACAACATTTTTTTTAAACATACCTACACAGCTTACGGACTAATATTGGCATGAGAACTGCTAATATAATTTGACAGGCGCTTCAACACTTATATCACAGGATATCACTTTACTGAGATTAATGACAGTGGACACTAAATTCTCGCCTTTGTGTTCTGGTAAACATTGGATTTCCACATTGTTAGCTCTCGCCTGTTGTTCCATGGAATTAATTCTCGTACTTAAGTCCTGCACGGTGGATTTAAGATGGCTATTTTCCTTCCTGAGTTCTGTCAGAGTATTAAACTTTTCCGTTAAATCTGTCTTGAAGCTTTCATATTTATCATTCAAACATGACATTGACTCCTTCACTTGCGATATATCTTCTTTTATTGATTTTAATTCGATATTAACAAAACTGGCTATAGTATCATTAAGATGTTTTAAAAGATCCTTAATTTCCGATTTCACAATTTCCCGAACTTCAACTACTGTGATAGTGGTAAGCGGTTGGACATTTACCACTGTACCTCCTCTTCGGCGATTGACATTTTCATCACGAATTTGTTTAGATTTCAAATTAGGCCGTATTGGGGTATTATCGGCATTTTCGTTCCTAGGTTGACAGTCGGGACACATCCAGTTAGTTATATCTGTTAATGAAGCAGATCCAAACGTAGATTGAATACAAGATTCGTGGTAATGCTGATAGCATTTTGAACATATAAGCGACTCTTCATTATCAATCACCGATAGACAAGCATTGCATTTCTTCATGTTTGTAGATTTACAAGAAAAAATAAATAATAAAATATAGATGCACACTAGTAAATGCCCTTATACTGCCGTAGCACAGGCGAGCCGAGCCACTTCAATGGTTTGGTACACTAATAACGGCCCCGGTAACTGAGCGTGAGCGCTGTTGTTGGCTAAAAGGTATTAAGCGCCGGGGAACACTCGTCGCTTACGCGTAGTGGTCAAACACTGGATATTAAAGAACTTGACGGTGTATTTACAAACACTATATGAGCTTGGTTATTTCTGTATACTAATTTTGGTGTTTTATGCACTAAGTTTTCCCAAATCTATTGCACTTAATGGTCACTGTTGTCGTATTTATGAATTGTTGTTTAAATTACGGCACAAAAACACATATGTACAAAGTTATGAATTTAAATTTGCGGAGCGCACTGACAGCAAATCAACGCAATGAATCTCGCAATTATCTCTTAAATAGAATTCTATTGTCGCAAATTTATCTATTGTGGCCTGTGCTTTGAAAAAATCGCTATGAACTTAGTTAATCAAGGTTTATAGAACACATTAGAAATAAATGCTTTGCCGTATTCTACAGCTGTGCGCACGTTTTTGCACCCAACTTAAGCAAGGAATCACATTCAACAAAGATAACCTTCGCTACTGACGACACCACGGCAGCAGTGACTGAAGAAATGGTTAAAAATGACCAAAAATTGATTAAACAGATCTTGAAATTTTACAAGGACGCTTCAGAATTTGGCGGTGAAAAATCTGTAAATATATTCGCGCGTTGGGTTCTCAGAATGCTTACCGATGCACAAAAACACCAAACAATGAGATTTAAAACTCCTTTCTAAGATATTCAATGGCTTTATAATGATTCAGGACACTATGTTCGCAGAACAAATAAAAAATTCAGCAAAATCCTCAAGACTAGACAAACTTGAAAAGATTCTTATAGTTCAACAAGATAACGACCCGGCTCACAACACCGCAGTTTCGATGACTGCAATTTGAGATGCTGGCTTTGAAATATTTAAGCACTTTAAATATTCAACAGATCTTCCACTTATTGATTTATATTAATTTCGCAAAATTAAGGAGTATCAGAGAGGAAAACGATTTGAACAGTAGTAACTGCAGTGCGAGAATTTTAGATGCTCAGGAAGTGTTCTTTGGAAAGGGAAATTTAAGCGTAGATAAAAGACATTCCAATATGACTAGGTGACAAATATTTATAAGTTTTAAACCTATATCATACACTTTCTCCTTAAAAAAGAAAAAAAATTAATTACAATATTGTAATTTTTTGTTAAATATCAATTGATCTGTCAATTGTCAATTGGTATGTCAGTAAACACGATCGGGTAGAATCTACTAGTTAGTCTGTGACGATATCACACCAACCATTTTAATCGATAGGCTTCATCTTTTCTTTCTACTGAGTTCCGGTCCGAAGTATATGATAGTCAGCTAGGTAAAAGACCATTTGTTTGGTAAATTTTTTTTTAATGTCAAATAGCCTAGATAATTTCTGCTTTTCATCTGTTCGTGAAGATTAATTGCGATCGGTTCAGCCATTCCAACGATTAGACCTGACAGACAGATAGATAGACTGTCAGACATACATGTCTTAATAAAGTTATTCATGTCTTAATGGCATGCAAATAACCACCTTAACTCAATTTTATGCATTTATTACGATATTACAGACAGACACTTTACTTTTGTTTATGTCTAGATTTAGTTTAACCCATTCGATTTTCCCAAGTGGAACGTCTTGAAGTTGAAATTATTAAAATGAAAACAAATGAAAATTATAATCGTTTTGTCACAACATTAACGTTTGAGGCGTGTACTTTAGTATTTTCTTATGTTTAATTAATAAAACGTTAAGGACACTTTTTCTGTATGTTAAATATTTTATGAAATTTTTATTGGGATATACTATATTATTTACATTTTTAAAGTCTGAAGTACGCCGAATCACGCACTAATGATGTACCTATATGTTTGTTTTTTTGTTTCTTTTTTTAAACGTATCCTCCTCCAAACTAGGATTTTCTAATGTATCGTGGGGGGCAGTTTACAAACATAAACTGCACAAGAACAAACATCCAGACCCGAAACAATTATTTGTAGTCCATACAAATACTTGCATGCTGATTATGTGCATTAGTTTAAGTAAAATTATGAAGCGATATAGTCGGAAAACTAACTGATTTAACTAACTTACATTTAAGTATATATTATATTTTTAAATCTCTTTGCGTACGCGAACGATAAGTCAGTTAGATTTACGCACATGTACGGAAAATATTTAATTTTAATAATGATGCAATCATAACTTAATATTCATTTTTGGAACAAAGACAAACGAAATACCAACTTGAATAATGGACACGAAATTTTAAAGAAGCTCTTACCTAATGAAAGAAAGAATATTAATCCCTCGGCGCTTTGCCAAAAAAATTTACTTGTGTAATTAATTAACGTCATCCTCTATTTACTCAAGTATTTAGGAACTTACTGAAACGGACGAATTCAATCCTCGCTGTTGCAATCCCTTAAAGGAGTCTTGTAAAACAATTCAATCGAAACACCATAGCAGTACAGTCATTCATTCCCACCTATAAAAAGTTCACTGCTGAACATATGTTGGCCTTCAACATAGATGTTCTTATAGGCGAGATATTTGCCACTACGCTTTGTAAGTTCGTTGGCAACAGCAGCTTTTTATTACTTTGCGTCATTATCAGAAGTTTGGTGCAGCCCATCTCATGTTTCACGTTTCGTCTGTCGCCTTTTACGACACCCACGTAATGGTTTAGTGGATTATCTTACGTTTATTCTACAGGACCAAAAAATGAAATTATTTGTAAAAAATATAATATCATTCAGTATTATTGTTACTTCAAAAAAGGATGATTCTATTTGACTTATGTTTTTATGGCGTACATATTTATTTCTGTATTTTGTTGAAAAAAGTCAAAGATGTCAAAATTATACAGCTGCGATCCGCGTAAAAAATTTATGTGTGTTACTCAGCTTGTAGAGCAGCTAAGATACTTTTCTTATTATGCTGCCGCAATGAAGCGAAACACGTGTCTTATTTTCGACGGTGACGTGTCTTTCCTAGTGTAGGTGTTGGGATTAGTGGTGACAGGTATCATATGAAGCAGGCAATTAAGGTAGAGCGAGAGGTGCTCTTAAAACTAGATAAGAGACATCATTTTCATTTTTTACGCGTTAACTAAATAATTTTAACATTTTAATATAATGGATTTCCGCGAAGTTACGCCTGATTCCTAATCGTCGCAGGACAGAATTGTAGTGCCCGAATGTTAACGCAAGCATAGGTGCATTCTTTGTACCCTCAATCTCATAGTCCGATGAAATGGCATTCCAACACGACCGGAAAGAGTTCAGTTACAGAAGGCATTGCTTTATGTGCTTTCAGAGGTACGAAAACCGCCAAATTACCGACGTCAGGCTGCAACCACATGAGTAAAGAAACTGTACAGAGACAAAGCTTCTAAGGAGCTGTTAAAATTTTTACCTATTTTGGTAGGGTTGGCACAGGAGGATAAAACTAAATAAACAAATCGTTTATCAGCATTTAAATAGTTAGTAATGTACCTATCACAATGCGGTTGTATGAAGATTTGCCTGTGTACGGTACGATTTCTTTACTCATGTGCTGCAACTGAGAATTTCTTAACAGAAAAAAACGGTAATTGATTTTAGCCCAATCCAGGATTCGAACCCGGAACCTAGTCACGCTTACGACCACTAGACCAACGAAGTGGTCAATGGCATGCAATATTTTTAATATGGTTAACTATAATAATTTTTTTTTATTATTTTAACATATTACTACAAAACTTTAGCTTTTTCCAGTTGCAAAGTTTATGTAACGCAAACGCTTTTGACATGAATAAAGAATACTTCATTAAAAAAGTGCATAAACATGAAACATATAGCAAGCAATTAAAAATATGGATGTCTTCAAGGCAAGAGTGAATAGGTTTTTGTTAAGTCAGTCCAGTTTACCATATTCGGCTGCATCACCACTTACGATCAGGTAGGATAGTAGTCAAGCACTGGCTTAGAATCGTAAAAGCAAATTATCCGCTTATTATATACCTTTTATGTATATATATATATTATATACTATAAAGTTAACTATAAATAATGTCTTATAAAAGGATCCGTTCCGCGTTAAGATATACTATACGTAAAATAAAACAGTATAAGGCAAGGCAAGAACCAATAGTTTAGAACCACGAGGTGCAAATTACAAAGCTCAAAGACATTGATTTATGTTCAACTTACTTCAGCGCAGAATTTATTTTTCCTTCCTATCTCCAATGGTCCATTATTCAGTCCTATGTGTGTTATCTGTGAGTCC